AAAATGTGCTTAGACTTTCATGTAATATCCAAAAATTACAGTGTTTTTTAAATAACAAATTGGCAACCACAACCGCTGTTTATTTTTTTAATGAATTTATTAATAAACAATCACCTAGATTTTTTTCGTACTTATTTCTTTACACTCTGTAGCATATTAAGTCTCTTCTTAAGTTTATAATCCTTAACTTCTTCATTCTGTTTAAAAAATGAACCTAAAATAATGATCACTCACAATCTCGTATTTTTTGAATGGTTTAAAGCAATGAAAAAAAAACATTATTATGTTATTCATTAATATTTTGAATAGTAGAGACTAAATAATCCAAAATAGATCACTTGATTTCTCAATATTAAGGTTAGTGTTTCATTATTTGTTAATAGCCGACTGGGTAAACAATACTAAATGCTAATAATTATTGCGATTACATTATGACACTAATTTAATCACTTTCTTCACCTTGACGCAATTAGAATATGTGATGACCGTCCAAAAGTGACCTTACGATATTAAAATGTTAAAATGCATTGGACGAACTTGTATTATTTCAATACTAATATTTTGGCAGGCTTATTTGGATTTTTTAAACGTTAAAATTCAGATACATTAACAATGTACTTCTCCGATTGATGTAGGTCCAATTCTGTTTTTTTTTCTTAGCTACAGGGGGTTAAAGTCTTCATTTTTATTTCGATTTATTATAATTTTCTTCCAAGTGCTTTTAGTGATTCGAATGAAATTTTGAGGGTAGTTATCACTGGAATATTTTTCTAAAAAAGAAACGTGCGCCATTACCTTTTTTTGTTCTTGTTAGCAAAGTTTTGTAGACCGTTTAATGCCGATTAAAAGTTATTTCTTGATATTTTGTTGATTTCGGTCTCCTGGATGAGATAAATGCAATTTTATTAATTTACCTTAGGGTGGGGCAAATGGTGGGGCATCTCGATGCGATGCTCGCCGCGATCCATCCTTCGCATCGAGATGCTTCTAGGTACTGTTTCTTAGGCACCCTAAGGGTACAAACCACAGTTTAAAGAATATAATATTTATATTCTTTAAACTGTGGTACAAACATAGTGGGGCATCTCGATGCGATGCTTGCTGCGATACATCATACGCGCACGTTTTAAGCACTGTTTTAAAACGGCGATTAAGTGCACTGTGTTTGTACCCTTATTCCAAGTCGAATATCAACCTTTAAAAAATTTTATGGTCATTAACTGGCTACAGTGATTGATTCCTCATCAAAATATATGAAAAAAGTTCCTATAATGCATACTTTTAAAGTTACAGAATGTTAAAACTCTTAAAAATAAGCCATTTGTAATTATCTTAAATACCATTATTTTTTTAACTTGCTCTAGTTATAACTGAATATCAATGTTATAGATTTTAATAGAATTTTATAATAAACTAGCTTGTACCAGCGACTTCGTTCTCGTCGAATTAATCATTTGTAATGGTGATGATAAAGCAAAGCAAGAATTTCCATTAACATACAAACTGGATAAAATTTGCTCACATTTATGTCAGCATGAGAAAAAACAATATGGCGATATTATTATATAACTTGGTAATATTTGATGGGTAGTTTCATCTCGTTGGAATTTGACTTTCGAAAAATCCGTTTGCTAAAAATAAGCTTTTTACGTCAAGCAGTTTAAGCAGAATCGTGGTTAAGAAATTACCCAACTTTTTGGAACACCCTGTATGATTTTTTTTAAATTTCAAAATATGTAAAAAAAACAAATAAATTATGCTTGTCCAAGCGTTTTCCCGAAAGAGTAACCGTTTTTTAAATCACAAATATTGTAATATTTGAGGAGCGTTTTCACCCTCTTGGAATTTGAGATTCGAGAAACCCCTCCTTATCGAACCTCTAAACCCCACAGTCAAACCGTTTGCCAAAAATCAGCTTTAAACGTTAAGCAGTTTAAGCAGAATCGTGATTACTCAGTGGTCATATTTTATGAAACACCCTGTATAAATTTATAAAAAATCTTAAAATATGTAAAACTACAAAATAAAATATACGTGTTTAAGAGTTTTTCCGATAAACTCACCGGTTTTTAAATAAAAAATATTTTAATATTTGAGGGATAGTTTCACACCCTTAGAATTCGAGTTTCGAAAAATCCCTTCTTATCGAACATCTAGAACACCCTAAAGTCAATCTGTTTTCCAAAAATCAGCTTTTTACGTGAAGCGCTTTAAGCAGGATCGTGATTAATCAATGACCAGATTTTTCGAAACACCCTGTATACATTTTTAAAAATCTTAAAATATGTAAAAAAACAAAATAAAATATACGTGTTTAAGCGTTTTTCGGAAACTTGACCGTTTTTTAAATAAAAAATATTGTAATATTTGAGGGGTGGTTTCACCCTCTTGGAACTGGAATTTCGAAAAATCCCTTCTTATCGAACCTCTACACCCTAGAATCAACTTGTATGCCAAAATTGAGCTTCTTACGTTGAGTGGTTTGAGCAGGATCGTGATTAATCAGTATGTCAGTCACTTAAGGATTTTATATATTAGTATAGATATGTTTTCACTGGAATATTTTTCTAAAAAAAACATGTGCGCCAATGCCTTTTTTTCTTTTGTTAGCAAAATTGTATAGGCCTTTTAATGCCAATTAAAAGTTGCATATTGATATTTTGTCGATTTCGATTTTAGCATTAATAAATTATTTACATAATTTAATCTATACTAATATATAAAATCCTTAAGTGACTGACATACTGATTAATCACGATCCTGCTCAAACCACTCAACGTATGAAGCTCAATTTTGACATACAGGTTGATTCTAGGGTGTAGAGGTTCGATAAGAAGGGATTTTTCGAAATTCCAGTTCCAAGAGGGTGAAACCACCCCTCAAATATTACAATATTTTTTATTTAAAAAACGGTCAAGTTTCCGAGAAAACGCTTAAACACGTATATTTTATTTTGTTTTTTTACATATTTTAAGATTTTTGATAAATTTATACAGGGTGTTTCATAAAATATGACCACTGAGTAATCACGATTCTGCTTAAACTGCTTGACGTTTAAAGCTGATTTTTGGCAAACGGATTGACTGTGAGGTGTAGAGATCGATAAGGAGGGGTTTCTCAAATCTCAAATTCCAAGAGGGGGAAAACGCCCCTCAAATATTACAATATTTGTTATTTAAAAAACGGTTAGTCTTTCGGGAAAACGCTTGGACAAGCATAATTTATTTGTTTTTTTACATATTTTGAAATTTTTTAAAAAATCATACAGGGTATTCCAAAAAGTTGGGTAATTTTTTAACTACGATTCTGCTTAAACTACTTGACGTAAAAAGCTTATTTTTGGCGAACAGATTTTTCGAAAGTCAAATTCTCACGAGATGAAACTACCCCTCAAATATTACTAGTTATATAATAATATCGCCATATTGTTTTTTCTCATGCTGACATAAATATGAGAAAATGTTATCCAGTTTGTAAGTTAATGGAAATTCTTGCTTTGCTTTATCATCACCATTATAAATGATTAATTCGACGTGAACGAAGTCGCTGGTACACGCTAGTATATTATAATGGTTTAAAATAATTAAAATAGTTTATTGTTTTTTTAAGAGTAAAAATTAGAGTTTATGTGGCTTTTTTTTTCAAACGTCACCAAATTTTTTTTTAAACAATTTCATACGTTGCAAATAATATAAAAAAGAGTTAAAAATAATACCTTGTAATTATACAGGGTGAGTCTTAAATAAGTACAAATATTTTCAGGAGTAGTATATTTCGACCCCAGGAACACGGCTATGAGTTTTTTTTTCTCAAAAAAAAAGATGTTGAAAATCGTGCATTTTCTTTTAAATTTTCCTGTATATTTTTCGAAAACTTTTTAGAACTGCCTGTTCACCGCAAATTTCCCCACGGTATAATTTCTTAATCTCTGATATTACCATAGTTACGGTACTAAAAGAGATGCAAATACAGAAAAAATCCGGTGGCTCTCAAAATATTTCCAAAAAAAATCATTTTTTTTTAATTTTCAAACTTAAATAACTCGGTTATTTTGGACTTATTTTAAGAATGGTAAAGAGAAAATTTGTTTCTTTTATCGAGATCTACCAGCCCTGAAAATATTTGCACTTATTTAAGACTCACCCTGTATATCGAGAAACTATGGTTACACTCGTTGAATTTGAGACTTGATGTCAGTGTAATAATATATTTTTGTGAAAGCGTTTCGAAATTGACAGTTTTTGATATTTATTTGAAATTCGAAATGACATTCTTTTAGGCACTAGTATGTAAAAGTGACACTTGTTTAGGCACTAGTGCCTAAAAGTATGTCATGTTTTTCTTTGACCCAGGTTTCAAAGTTGTTGTAGGTGGTTTTGTTGTTCTCGTATAAGTTTTTCGACTTCTTGGGCACTAACGTGGATAGCGCAGTTTCAGCAGCTTGTTGAATATCCAAAGAGTCGTCATTATCACACATTTTTTCACAAAACTTTTTAAGAAATACGGCTACGTTTGAATCTGACAGAACTTTGTCATTAAACAATGCATAAACAATGCCTTAGAAACCATTCATTTCGCCACTTGTTACATAAATAGCTATTTCGTACTTTTATGCTTAGGTATAAAAGTACTTCATTTTTAAGCCCAGGCGTTAAAATGACGTTTTTTTATTGTCAATCACATCGCAAAAATTAATACTTTTGTGATGTTTGAAAAAAAAAATATTTATTAGACGTTATTATGTGATATTTAAGGTTAATTTATGATGTACAGTTTAAATTTATTAATTGCTGTTTTAATTATTATTATTAAACAATCGAAATATATTTATTGGAAAATTTTATATTCAGAAACAAGTATTAAAATTATTGTTTTTAACAGTATTATAAATAGTAACTATTCAGACTTCAAGTAAAATTTTGCAGAACGACAACGAACAAAACTGACTGACTTCTGTGTTTTTGACAAGTTGTATTAATTTTATTGTTTTTTTGTTCCAGAGTAAACCATCGATATGGGTCGATTTACTGGGAAAAAATGTCGGCTGTTGTCGATGTTATGGCTTACTACTTTTTTCTTTTTCGTGGAAATAGTAGTCGGCTACATTACCAACTCTATGGCATTAGTAGCAGATAGTTTTCATATGTTAAGCGACGTGGCGGCATTGGTAGTAGCGTTTGTGTCAGTACGAGTAAGTGTATAAATCTATATTCAATAAGGACATTATTTATGATATTAATATGTATTACGGCTTACTTCGGGTTGTTCATAATTACCGTTTCTGAACTATCCTAGAACAACAACTACAACGCATGCACAAATAAAAAAATTCCGCATATTTTCTGTTGCGTAACATATGTAGTTCTACAGGGTGGTCCGTAGTTTCGGAGATACAGGGTGCAGAAGTTTCATTTTTTCCAAATAATTTCTAAAGTATCGTCAATATTTGGATGATAATTGGTGTCTGGGAGTTGTTTGACATGAGAAATTTGATTTTGATGTCAATATGACTCCTACTTGTAGAGGGCGCCACCTACATTTTTTTAACTAGTTAGAAGAGTAATAACCTTTCGTCCGTACCTGTATAAAACTAGTGAGTAAAAAATATACATTTACGACGTTTTTTTTACGTAAAAAAGGTCTCTTGGTAAAAATGTAAATGTAACGTTTAATTAAACAGCGTAATAACTGGGCCGGTCAGGCGCTGTGCACAATTTTAGAGGCCATAAGTGGGCGTGCTATGTGCGCAAACTAGTAACCTAACTAGTGCGCGACTCCGAAAATTGGAACCACGAAAAACAATGCTTTTGATGATAAGTTTATAATCTGTATAATGTGTGCTACAACATAGTTCTAGGACGGTTCAGAATCGGTAATAAGAAAAACCCGAAAGAAGTTTATATTTATTTGGTTTATTGTTGTTATAGATGTCGCCAAAAAAGTGGTCCAAAAACACATTCGGCTGGGCCCGGGCTGAAGTCTTAGGAGCCCTTGTAAATGCAGTATTTTTAGTAGCACTATGCTTCTCCATTACAGTGGAAGCGTGTAAGAGATTTATAGAAGTGGAAACTATCCACGATCCTCCTCTGTTAGTCATTGTCGGAGGAATAGGTCTTTTAGTCAATCTTGTAGGTTTAGCACTATTTCACGGTAAGTTCCCCTTTCCAGTGCATTTGATTTAATAATATACTATTTTAATAAAAAATAAAGTTTATGGGTCCTATCACTTGACTTGTTTAACAGGAAAAATGACTAAACTGTATTCAAATTCAAAATGCACCAGTATAAACAAATGCACAGTGGGTGATCAGCACGTGTCAGGCGAGAGCCAGCGGCGAAATCTACCCTGATTGGCCGGCCAGCCATAGAGCCGTTGAGGAAGGCGGTTGAGATTTTTTACAGGGTCGGCTTGCATAGCGCGTTAAGGAATACTGTTTGGTAAAATAAAAAAAAAATGCTTTTTTTTAAATTTAAAAAAAAAAAAAAAAAAAAAAAAAAAAAAAAAAAACTATTTCAATAATAATTGTTGATCACTTCGTACAAGTTACAAGTTACAATAGAGAAAATAATATTTATGTTTTGCATAAAATATTCTTTACAATTCAGTTACACACGTTATGTTGTATATAATCTGCAAAAGGTTAGGAAAAATAGTGGGCAACATTTTTATAACGTTTATATTTGGCTTTGGTATAATAAAGGCAGTCGTTAGCTGATGCTCGTGAGAGTACGTATCGTTTGTATTATTTTTCCCGGTCCAAAGTGTTTTCTATACATTTTATAAAAGCGGTTATGGACCCAGAACGTGTTTAAAAAAAGCGAAGAAAAGACCCGGGAAACGAGTCATTCTTTGAGTGCTACACGCGGGGGGGGGATTGGGCAGTGAACTAGTTATTCTAGTGTTCCTGCGGGCTAACGGGGTCGTAATTATCAGATGCTTTTTTGCAGTGAAAGAGTGTGTTCGTTCCGTTGATGGGTCTTGACGAGCGATGGTCTTGATGGCTCAGAGACAGATTCTGATTGTGTAAGCTAAGGCCAAAGCTAAGTTAATTTTAACAGTTGATCCTACGTTATTTATCCATGTAAAGGACACTAAATCGGCTAAAGATGTATGGGATAAGTTAAAAAAACTCTATGAAGATTCGGGTTTCGCGCGAAAAATTAGTTTAGTTCGGAATTTGAATTTCGTTGAGACTTGAAAATTGTGAATCGATGGAGTCTTATGTTAACAAAATAATCGATACAGCTCAGAAACTAGAAAGAAGTGCTTTTAAACTGACTGAAGAGTTTATTGGAAGTTTGATGCTTGCTGGTTTAACCGACAAATATGAACCGATGGTTATTGCAATTGAACACTCCGGAATTGTATAACTGCAGATTCCGTCGAGTCAAAATTATTGGGCAATACATCTAGATGGCGTTAGTGGGGCGTCAACGTCAAGTGCGGGTAGTGCGTTTGCGAGTAACATTTCGGGCAAATGGAATCATCGAAATGACAGCGGTCGTGGTAACAGTGGCAACAATGGAAAGCACAAAATGTAAATAAAGGAAAAAGTGAGGTTATCTGCTATAGATGTAAGAAGATGGGGCATTTTATGAACCGATGTCCAGAGAAGAAAGCTTACAGTAAAGATAATACATCTAGTGCTTTTAATGCTGTTTTTCTTACTGGAAAATTTGAGAAATCAGACTGGTACATTGATTCAGGTTGCAGTGCTCATCTTACAGCTCAAAGAAATTGTTTAAAAATGTAAGAAGTTCCAGTCAAAATTACAGTGGCAAATGGGAATAGTTTAGCTATTAAATGTGGTGGTGACACAGAACTCACGACATTAGTGAAAGATAAGCAACATTTAATTAAAGTGAATGATGTATTCTACGTACCGGACTTAATGACTAATTTATTGTCTGTGAGCCAGTTAATAAAGAATAATAACAGAGTTGTTTTTCACAAAACTGGGTGTAACATTTTTAATAGCAGAAACGAACTGGTAGCTACAGCTAGTTTAGTAGGAAATGTTTACAAGTTAGATATTGTGGAGCCACATACAAAACTAGTAGCAGGATTAGCAGTCCCAGGAGAAATTTGGCACAGGCGTTTTGGACATTTAAATTACAAGTACCTGAATTCTATGAAGAATGGCTTAGTTGAGGGTTTTGATTATACAGGAAGTTTATCACAAAGTGACTCAGGCATTTGCGAAATCTGTTGTCAAGGTAAGCAAATGAGACTACCGTTTAATCATAAGGGCAATAGAGCAAAATCTATTTTAGAAGTTATTCATGGGGACTTATGTGGTCCGATGGAAGTGACATCTATAGGGGGCTCAAGATTTTATGATATTAGAAGATGACTACTATACGAAATTTAAATTGTTTACATATTTTTCTTAAAAGTAAAGATGAAGCTTTTGAAAAATTCAAGGAGTTTAAAGAATATGTAGAAAATCAAAGGAATTGTTAGACAGATAAAAGTTTCGGTACTGATCAAGGGACAGAGTTTGATGGGAAGTTTTTTCAAGAGTATTATAAGAATCAAGGAATTTTGCATCAGCAAACAAATGCTTATACTCCGCAGCAAAATGGTATGAGTGAGCGGATGAATAGAACCATAGTGGAAAAAGCTCGTTGTTTGTTATATGACGCAGAACTTTGTGGATTCTGATTGGGCTAATGATTGTGATAGGAAATCATACACAGGATATGTATTTAAACTATGTGGTGGGTCTATTTCTTGGCAAAGTTGTAAACAAAGAACTGTTGCATTAAGCAGTACTGAGGCAGAATATATAGGTCTTAGCGAGGCTTCAAAAGAAGCAGTTTATTTGAAAATATTCTAGGTGAAATAATTGATTTTCACGATAGTGTTACAATATATAATGACAATCAGAGTGCACAAAAACTTGCTTTGAATCCATTGTTCCATAAGCGAACAAAACATATTGATGTACGCTATCATTTTATTAGAGAATGTATTACAAACGGAATGATAACAATCCATTACCAACAAACTGATGAAATGGTAGCAGATATATTAACGAAGGGTTTAGCTAGAATTAAGCATTCTTATTTTATTAAGAAACTGGGTTTTACCTCTTAACCATTTGAGATAGTGGGGGTGTTGTAAATATAATCTCAAAGGTTAGGAAAATAAGTGGCAACATTGTTTTATAACGTATATATTTGGCTTTGGTATAATAAAGGCAGTCGTTAGCTGATGCTCATGAGAGTACGTTCGTTTGTATTATTTTTCTCGCCAAATGTTTTCTAATACATTATAACAACAACGTACCTACTACAAAAAGTCAAAAGTTATATATTTTATATAAAATTATTATTTTGTAAATGTTAATAAAATTATAAATTTTGTAAATCTAATGTTAATAAATGTTACGTTTAAAAATAGAAGTTTTTTTTGACTAGTTTTTCAAAAAAAAGTCGTTATACTTTAAAACGGATAATACAGCAGGCTACGAAAGCAAGTTAAAACTAAGTGCTTTTTTGTCAACTAAAATGTATTAAATTATGTTATAATGCAATGGGTCTTTTAAATGATGTAAAAACATTTACATCATTGCATTTTTTGCAAATAGTATTATAGAAACAGATACCTATTTATACCGATATTCAGATATTGCTGTCAATAATGGAAATAAAAAAAATCAGTAGTACCAAATAAAAAGATAATTATTTTAAGGACAAATTAAGCCCTTTTAAAAAACACCAAATTTGTTAAAATCGGTCGTGCCAAAGAGTAATGTAATATTTTAATATTCCCGCCCCTTCCCATCACTTTATTTCTCTAATTATATGTAGTTAATAATTAAAGGTAATTATTGAGAAAACTGGAAATCGTCCGATTTTTACCAAAATTGGTATACACCCTATTTTGAGGTCGTAGATTACGAATCTGAACATTTTTCCTGGCGGTCTCTTACCGTTTTTCAGAAAAACGGAAAATAGTTTCAACATAGAATTTTACTTAATTTCTCATATTTTTAAGGTTTTTTAGCACATACTTTGTTAGGTATTCAATAAACAATGATGTTTTTGCTATTTTCTGTTACTTTTTTGACCAATTCTATGCATAATGGAGGAAAATTTGCAAAATAAATTTGTAAACAATCTGAAAATGTTGGGTTATGTGTTTCTGGCATTTAAAGCAACGTTGCCAATGATGAACGTAAATTTAGCGTGTTTTTTCGCTCATTCTGGGATTACCAAAGGCGGTTGCCTGAGGAACGGCTCCTTCCCATAACTGCTATTTTACCAACGAGATCTGACTATTTATAACCACGAAGTGGCACGAAAGAGTTTTGTTCGCATTGGTTACAACTTCTATGCGGAGGGTGTTAATATTTTTTTGTTATATTATATAAAAAAAGACTAACCCCTCCGCAAAGAAGTTGAAACCAGTGCAATCAAAACTCTTTCATGCAACTTCGTGCTTATAAATAGTATTTATATAACTTCTTTGCGAAGGGGGTTAATCTTTTTTTAATATAACATAAAAATATCAACCCCCTAAGCATAGAAGTTGAAAGCAATGTAATTAAAACTCTTCCGCGTAACTTTGTAGATACAGGTATATTTAACTATTGTCAAATCTCATAATAGGTAATTTATTTAAAATCCCTAATCACCCGAAAAAATTCAAATATTTGTCTCTCTCATTACATAGGAGAGAGAGAGAAGAATATATGAAATCTCAAACTTCCATCTGGTCCCAATTTTCTTTGTTATTTTGTTAAGAAAAGTGTTTTTCAGTAAAATTTTGGACATTTTTCAATCCTCAATCTAGTGTGGCTTTTAGATAAACTATGATATAATAAAAATATAGTGAAATTATTACTTTATAGGGCTGAAATAAAGAAAAATTCAATGTTGAAATTATTTTCCGTTTTTCTGAAAAACGGTAAGAGACCGCTGGTTGGTTAGGTTTGGTCAGATTCGTAATCTACGACCTCAAAATAGGGTGTATACCAATTTTGGTGAAAATAGGTCGATTTCAGTTTTCCCAATAATTACCCATTTATATAATATAAATTTCCATCATAAAATATAAACAATAGTAAAAAAAATCATAAAAATATACATAATAATTTTATGATTTGAAATATCCGACCTTAGTGCGGTCCTGGTTATATTAC